GCTACATGATGTTCCTCACAGTCATGACAGTCCATCGATACGTGGCGGTGGTGTATCCGGTGTTCGCTTCATCTGTAGGGAATCGTAGCAGGATTTACACGCACATCGCGTCTGCAGTGGCATGGTTGATCTCTGTGGGCTTCAGTCTGCCTGAAATGATCTTCTCTGGAACTGTGGATGGACCTGATGGTGTATTCTGTGTTCCCAACTATAACTCAATATTCGTGGAGTTGTTTGGATATTTCACTCAGATAATTCTCTTTTTCCTGCTGCCATTCCTGGTTATTGTGTTCTGCCACACACGGATGGGATTTGCCATCCTTCAGAGTCGCATCCGAAGCAGAAACCACGCCGTATGCGTCATCCTAAGCATCGCCGTGGGATTCTTCATCTGCTGGGCGCCGTATAACATCTTCCTCCTCTTCTTCTCCTTGAGGTCTCTAGGCATTTTTATATTGTGGGAGAGCGTTTTGGAGGTCATCTACTGCATCACTCACGTTCTAGCGTATTCCCACTGCTGTCTGAATCCACTCGTCCACATCTTCGGAGGGAAGAAGTTCAGGAATTACCTGCCATGGAGCAGAGGTTTCCGTCGGCTCTCGCAGAGGATCAGCATGCAAACGTTTAGCAACTCCAACAGCTTCTCGGGTCAGTTTCATCTCTGATCATGTCAGAGGTCATGATGTCATTTTGTTGCGGCTCCAAAGCGAGTCACATGACGTTTATTGAGATTAATAACAGATTGATAGCAGAGGTTTTATTAATCAAGCAACAAAAGGCAAGAGCCAAATTCTTAGAAATGTGATCTAAATGGCATTTATGTTGGTTTCATATATTTTTTAAAAAGTTTAGTTTAGTGGTGTAACTATCAAGTAAAAAAATGAATTTGCCTCAAAACATGAATACCCGCACACCGTAAAGGGGTCACAGGATGCCCATTTTCCACAAGTTGATATGATTCTTTAGGGTCTTAATAAAAAGTCTGTAACATAGTTTGGTTAAAATTTCTCAATGGTAGTGTAAAAAACACCTTTTTTACACTGTCAAAAACAGATCTTTTTAGAGCAAACCGTTTTGTAGCATTTTCCTTTAAATGTTAATGAGCTCTGCTGACCCCGCCCCTCTCTTCCGAGCTGCTCTCAGAAAGACTGTTTACTTTCACCGTATTCATCGTGAAACTTGCTAATTAGCACATTAGCACGATTTGCAAAGATTAGAAAGGTGATTTGCAAAGATTCATTACAAAACATTACACTCACTTCTTCTGTAGATGAGGCTGGATCACGAATGATTTGCGCTAACATAGACGCATTTATGTAGATCGGGGCGCATTCCCTTCAATGTAATCCACTGCGTCTTCAGCGGCTCAGATGTCGGGAGTAAATGATGACTGCTATGTTCATTATTACATCCAACAACAGAACACCTCAATCGCTTAGGAGTCATTCTTGTCTACATCTGGTCCAGCGGTGAAAAAATGGCGGACTGATGACAGTCACTCAGGGCGGAGCTAAGGTAAGACGCCAGTCCAGTCTGTGCTGAAACGCTACTGTCAATCAAACTATCGTGGGAGGGGCCTGTCTGTGTGACAGATCTGAGATCGGCTCGATTTTAGAAAGGGGTAAACATTTAACCAGATTTAAAAAAAAAACACTGGGTGGATTTTTATCATTATAGGGTGGTTGTGTACACACACTGCCAACACACATTTCAGTTCAAACTATTTGTAAAAGTGCATGAAGCATCCTATGACCCCTTTAATAATTATTTGCAAAAATATATTGTAAAAAAGTTTTTGTGGTTATTCCATTTGACAGTTGGAATTAACCTTAAATGTCATGAAAAGTAAAATAATCTATAAATATACTTATTCAAAAAACAGCCATGCATGGTTCTACAGTGTTTTCCTGTTTTATGGTTTTTCCTGTCACATGATAATGGTTTTGTGAATTTTCATTTCTAAAAAAAAAACAAAAAACAATGTTTTTTGAACATTTTCTAAATGTTTTCTGAAAAAAAAATGTAAGGGTTGTAAGTACCAAGCAAAAAGTAACCGAATATTTTTCTTAAAACGTACAAATATCATCATCAGTAAAATCAAAGTTATTGCGTTTGACAATCTGAGTTATCTTTAAATGTCATTATAAAGTCAATATATATATATATATATATATATATATATATACGTTTTTTTTCTTTCGAGAATTTAAGTGATTTCTTTGTTAATTTAATGGATAGTTATGGCGATGGCAATGGCAATTTTATTTATATAGCACTATTTACTACAACCAGAGTTGACCAATGTGCTTTACAACAGAACAACTAAAAAACAGCAGTAACACAATTAAAAATAAAAACTGTAAAACAGAGAACAAGGAGAGAACAAGGAAAAGAAAAACATCATAACATGCAGCAAAAATTTTGGACAAGGATAAAGAGTGCTTCAACCAGAATTAAAAGCCTTATCGAACAGATAGGTTTTTAATTTAGACTTAAAAATAGCCACAGATGAAGCCATTATAATAAAAATATCTAATAATATCTAACAGAAATAGTATTTTTGGCAAACATGTTCAAAAGTTGTTCATTCACATGACATACTGTAAAGACTTCACATCAGTGGATTAGAAAAAGTTATTTTATTCTACATAACGATGGCCATCATGCAAACATGACTATCCAAGCATTATTTGCTTTATACTTTCAGATGTGGATTTAATACATCATGGGTGATAAATACACCTGTTAATGGGGTTAATGCCCTCATATCACCAGCAAAACAAACTTAAATAATTGCCAAATTCGAGTTGCTAGAGTTATTTGTCAGTTACTAGCCATTTTGTAAACCAATACATCTTAGATCTCAAATTAAGAACTATAGACTGTCACCTGCTGATGTAATCAATGATATCCGTCATTAATCACATTAATTTTAACAACTTTTTAGTGGAACATGTATCATGGGAAGACATATTTTGTCATATGTTTGTCGCATTAAGCCACTAAAACAACATGAGCAAAAAAGAATCAATGTGGCTTTTCTTTACGTTTTTGTGCCAGGTTGCATTTCAGCGAGAGACAGAGTCTGGCTCATCTCGTATATGATGCTGCGAGTGACACTATGGCTTTGTCCCAAAACCAAGTGGACTGCCAATGTAGGCAGCTTTCCCAATGCAAAGGCTGTTCCAAAAGGTAAGAAACCTTCTTTTGGCTGTTGTGATGAAGGCAATCCCATAATACAATCAGTTCCCATCATCCATAGCACTGATTACACACACACAGTTGATTGCACACAGCACTGATTGCACACAGCTGTCATCAATCACACCTTCCTTATATAACACTCACTCTGATCCCCGTCAAGCTGCCGAGTATTGTTTAGCGCATATCACTCTTCTAGCGATAGTTGCATTACGGAGCCCTTCCTAGTTCCCAGTTCTAGTTCTAGTACTAGTCAAGCCACTTCGTGTTGTCTGTTTCCTGACCTTCTGCCTGTGTTTATTGGATTACCCCTCTTGTCAAGCCCTCTGCATTCTGTTCGCCGATCGAAGACCCACACTAGCCCTAGGAATACTCTTGTGTCTTGCCCTCTACATATCTGTTTGCTGGTGTTCAACCCTGCCTGTTTCTGACCATGTCTTTGAATAAAGCCTTGCATATGGATCCACAAGTCTCATGTCTCGTTCGCCCCATAACAGAATACTCGGCCCCACAAGGCTCCAGCGGCTTTTCAAGTGGACACTGGCCAGGTATGGACATTGCAAGACTGTTATTAGCCCTCAAACAGGGCACACGATTGCTCGAGGACTATATGCAAGAGTATCTGAACTTTACTTATTTTTCTGATCTGCCGGACTGTGTACTCATAGACTTCTTTTGTGAGGGCATTAATCAGCCGCTCAAATCACATTTAATTCGTGAAGGTCCCCGCTCATCTCTCAGTCAGTTTATGGACTATGCTTCGTTAACTGTTGGTTCAACGTTCACTGTGGGTGTCGTGGAGGAACGCAACCCCGCATTCACACGTGTAATGGCGGCCACACTAGAGCACACTCACAAAATGGCGGACACAACTATTTATATAGCACTATTTACTACAACCAGAGTTGACCAATGTGCTTTACAACAGAACAACTAAAAAACAGCAGTAACACAATTAAAAATAAAAACTGTAAAACAGAGAACAAGGAGAGAACAAGGAAAAGAAAAACATCATAACATGCAGCAAAAATTTTGGACAAGGATAAAGAGTACTTCAACCAGAATTAAAAGCCTTATCGAACAGATAGGTTTTTAATTTAGACTTAAAAATAGCCACAGATGAAGACATTCTAATAAAAATGGGCAGATCATTCCTGCACTTCCACCTCATCTTGGGGATAAACAAGAGTCTCTTGATTTATAGACAATAAGTACAATTTTTAAATCTACTCCGTAACGCACAGGCAACCAGTGTAAAGACTGTAAAACCGGAGTAATGAATCCCGGTCAAAAGTCTAGCTGCCGCATTCTGAACCAATTGTAATCGGGATAAAACTGTTTGACTAATCCCAGCATAAAGTGAGTTACAGTAATCTAATCTAGAGGTAATAAAAGCATGAATCACTTTCTCAAAGGTTTTAAAAGAAAGAAAAGTCTTCGCTTTAGACAGGAGCCGCAACTGAAAAAATTATGATTTGACCACAGAATTTATCTGCCTATCAAACTTCAGATGTTCATCAAATACCACACACAAATTTTTCACATATTGCTTAACACATGATGATAACCCACCAAGGTTTGAATCTGAGAGTTTAAAAACAATAATTTCATTTTATTCCTCATTGAAATTCAGAAAGTTTAGCGACAACCATGCCTTTACATCTGTCAAACAGGCCAGGAGAGCATCCAGTCCATCCAAATTCCATTTTATAGGCAGTTAAACTTGTGTATCGTCAGCATAACAATGGAATGACATTGGCTCACTTCTAACGAGCTGGTTATCTGAATCAGGTGTGTTAACTAAGCGAGACATGCAAAATATGCAGAGCTGGGGGGGGCATGAGGACAGGAATTGGGAACTGCTGGGCTACATCATGTGTCATTCATCGGTGAGAAAACTTTAAAAGTACTACAATACCAGGAAGGAAGATCGGGTTGTTGATGTTTGTCT